AAGTTTCGAAATGTCCTGGAACCTCGTCGGTGGGGCATGGCGCGAAAATCGCGGCCGCGGGGGCCGAGAACGGCAAGGGCGCCGAGCTCGAGTGGGCCCCGAAGGCGCGGCGCGAGGAGGATGTCGCAGCCGCGCCGTTGCAGTTCAAATCTCGCGCCATTCTGAGCTTTTGGCAACGGAGAAACGCGCGGCTGCTATCCCTGGGCGGACGATCCAGCGGATTATTCTTCTTCGGCCCCAGGAGATGCGCTCTTCCTCGGGCCTCTGACGGCAAAACTAAGCACCGTGATCTGCTCCTTCGACAATGGCGCGATCGCCCTGCTGGGGTGGACCTCTCCGGCGCCCCTGGCGGAGCGGGGGGCCGCGTTGGCACCGGCTACTTTCTTGTTTTGCAGCGCGTCGCATGTCTCACGAGGGTATGAGAGGCCCGTCGACGTCATCGACGCGGTCTTGGAGTTCGCGGAACCCCGCGCCCGCCTAGGTCAACTTGAGGATGGAGATCGCCATCGGGAATCTTGGAAATCCTGGCGCGGCGGAGCACTCAGCAATGGAGGTGGGCAAGCTCTCGCGCTGTCGAGGACGAGTGGCTGCGCTGGGGGGTCGACTCGGGCGCTTCGGCGCCAGGTTCCCGCAGTTCACGCGTTGCCCCGACGGTTTCCACCCGAGGTACTTCAGCATGCTCGGAGACGCGGAGTTGTGTTGTTCATCTTCATCTTGGATGGCCCACGCGGTGGATCCGGTTGGCGAGGTGCCCGAGGCGGCCCAGGAGTTGTCGGTTTCATCCACGGCGGGGCCCGACAAGGGGGGGGGGCCAATGGCCACCGCCGCGCTGCCGAGCGGCCCCGCGGGGAGACGCGTCGTGGCCCGCGCGGGACTTGGTGGGCCCAAGTGGGCCGCGGGCCTCAGATCTATGCGGCGGAGGCGCGGCAGCCTAGGCGCGGCCTCGAAAGCTGTCGGCATCTGAGAGGGCCTCTGGAGAACAGGCGCGCCGGGCTAGGCCCCCGTGGGATTTTCAGCAGCTCCACGAGCACAGGAGGCGCAAAGTTCAGCGGGGAATCTATCTCTCTTTTCCCTTTGCGCGTGCTGCTCTACGCTCTGCGAACGCAGCAGTGGAAGCGCCATGCGTTGCTCGATGGAGATTGAGCCAATCCCTTGCGCGCCACGCAAGGGATAGTTGCCGGGGCCAGTCCAGTCCGGGCACGCACGAAGCGATGGCTTTGATGTGGAATGCCATCAGGGAGCGGGGCCCGCGCCCAGGGACTTCTCAGGGACTGCAAACGTCGATAATATTTCGCTTCGCTCGCGGCACCTCAACCCTCGCGAGTGCGCCGCGCGCCTCGAGGCCTCGGCGAGCACCGCGGCCCGCCGCATCTCTCCCACGCTCTGCGCCCCCTCGCGGAGCGGAAGATGTCCCCAGTCGCGACTTCGAGTTCTTTGCTCCAGGCGGTCAAGAAGGATCTATGCTTCCTGGTTGGGACGTCATCTTGGGCCCCAGGCAACCTCGGGGCCCCGCTCGCAGCTGGGGGGCGCCAGCATGCGTCGCTTGCCCGAACCGTCAGAATGAAGAGGGCACTGACATTCAAGCGGCCCTGAAGATTTCCACAATGGTTTGGGCTAGGCCGTTTAAGAGTGGCCCCATTTCTGATGTGTGTCATGGGATGGCGGTCCAGGGCATTACTCATGCGGAAATCCTGCACATTCGTCGCCCTACCCCCAGGGCCTCGGGGATCAGCAAGAACGGTTGTCTCTTGGAGCCCCAGTGGGCCAACGACAAGTACCGCGTGCCCCCCCATCTACCCCCTCTACCTGGCCACGGGACTTTTCGCGCGGCGCGCGTGGGAGTGGCGGGCCGCCTCTGAACCGACGACAAGAGGCATGCCACGGCATCAAGATGTGCTGAGCCCAGGCTTCCACTCTGCTGTCAGCGCGCTCGCAGAGACTCAGCGGGACGCCGTGGTTGCATTGTTCCCGTGGGCCGATTTCGGCCTTGCTCTTGCGGTTGGAAGTTGGCGGCTGGTCTTGTTCTGACCTTGCTACATTGGTTTCGCGAAATGGGGCCAAGCGGGTTGTAACTGAGAAGCCGCCTTCACAGATTGCTCAAGTTTTCCTCGCCTACCTCCGTCGCGTGTATCTCAATCGGTTTTTGGGCCCAAGCTTACCAACGCTCTTTGGTGGGGAATGATAGTAACGCCAGAGGCTCGCGGCTACCCTTAAGTCAGCGTGCAGCAATATGCTTTCAAGCAGGTCAGTTGCACATGTTCTGCCAGATGTTATCTGGTGCGGTCCCGACAGGCTCCGCTCTGGCAAAGTTGGGATATTAAGTTGACCCTCTATGCCCTATGCCCTTTGTGCAAACGAACGGTTTTTGGACACCCTGCAGCACAGATTGCGGGGGCGTTTTCATCCTCTACCGGCGCCAAAACGCGTTGAAGACTGTTGCGAGTTGGGGCCAGTCAGTCTCTGCATCTGTCGCGTTTGTGGGTCTTGTTGCCCGATGTCCCAGGGCCTTCTGATGATTGGCATATCACCTTTTTGGGAAGTGACGAGCAGCCCGCTGATGAGGTTCAGTCCGACCCGCGTGATGACCTTTTCACTGGCGGGGCCTGCGTGCACGGGAACAGAGCTGAGATCGCGAGAGCTGGCGTGTTTGTTGCTATCATGCGTGAGGACCAGCTTGTACGTGGAGTGCGCAGTTTCTGTGCCACCAGCAATCCTGCAGGCAGCGAGTGGCGCTGATCACGGCGCGCTCGCAGTCGGATGTCTCAGGTGGAAGCTCCCTGTGCCCGACGAAATCCCGAAGCCGTTTGTTCTGGATTGTTCCGCTTTGAATTCTGGAATTCGGGACCCCGCCCAGGTCCTTGAGGGTTTTTGTTTTCTGGCGCGAGTGTCCAGGCATCCTGGGGGGAGTCCATGTGTCGCCTTGCGCAAGGTCAAGACTCACAGGGCCTTCAGTGATGCCGTAGACATCGCTGATCATGCGAATGATTTTGGTTCGTTGCAGGCATACCACTGGGCCAAGATTGCTGCTCAGGCTCATGACCTTGCCCTCGGGGGCTGTTGGATTTGGGGTGGACCGAAGATGAATGCAGCAGCTTAGTCTCGGGCATGGTTTCTGTGTTGTCGTGTTGGCCCAGCTTCGAGCGAAGGCCAACGTGCCCCACCCTGCCCGAAGTAACCATGTCCTGATTCTTCACGGATCGACCTTTCGATGCTTCAGGTGTTTAGGATTCGTGACACCCGACGCCTCCACTGAGTGCTCGAGGCCGAACCCCACCCTGTCATTATGCTGGGCGGCCAAGGAGGCGAGCGGCATGTGTTCCACTGGGCGACGGTGGTGGAGACGAATGCCCCTGTCTTTTTGTTTTGTGCGTGGCTTGCGGAGGCTTCGCAAAGTGAGAAACGACCGCCCGCTTCGCTGTTCAATGCGAGCCCCCTAGAACTCGTCGGAGCCGTCCAGGCTCCTGAAGGGGGCTCCTCCCGCGGACTAAGTTCAGGTTGTGCCCGTCCTTTCCCTTGTCGTCGCTTCCGTTCTTCCCCCTCCCTGCCACTTGCGTTCCCTTCCACGTCCCCCTTGGGGCCACCTGATCCGCCCTTGGGTATCTAACTTTGCAGTCGGCAATCGTTGTTCATGGAATGACCGAGTGTCCGCCAGGTCTGAGAGGTTTGAGAGGAGGAGGAGGAGGAGGAGGAAGAGGAGGAGGAGGCGAAGGAGGAGGAGGAGAAGGAGCAGGGGGACGAGGACAAGGAGGAGGAGGACAAGGACGAGGAGGAAGAGAAAAGGGGAGGAGGGTGGGAGGAGGAGGAGGAGGAGGAGGAGGAGGAGGAGGAGGCGGAGGAGGAGGAGGAGAAGAGGAGGCAGAGGAGGAGGAGGAGGAGGAGGAGGAAGAAGAGGAGGAGGAGGAAAAGGACGACGACGACGACGACGACGAGGACGACGGGGAGCTTACTCCTAAGAGTGCTCACGATTTTGTTGCCCCCCCCCTTGGGGGGTGCGGCCCCCGTGGCCGCAGGAGCACGGGGACGCGCGGGCGGCGACCCTCGCTCGGCCGTCCGGCGCCGGCGCCGAGGGCGGCGGCCAGGGGGCGCTGGAGCCGGAGGTGCGGGCTCGGGGGCACGAGGACGCGAAGTTCCCAGACCCCTCCTCCTCCTCCTTCCTCCTCCTCCTCCTCCCCTCCTCCTCCTCCTCCTCCTCCTCCCCCTCCCTCCCGCGGCAGGCCTCCGACGAGATGTTTGTCGTCCGCCGGGGCGCGACCTCGAGGGCGCGAAGTTCCCAGACCCCCCCCCGAGCCATGACGAAGATCTCGACGGGAGGGTGTTCTCGGCTGTCGGCCCCTTGGGGGCCCTCGCCGGGCCTCGGGAGCGTCGAAAAAAGATCCAGTGTGAAAAGCTTCGACTACACGTAAGAGTGACCCTTGGCCAGAGTGACCTTTGGTGTGGGCCCCCCGATCGCCGAGCGCGCTGCAATAGTAGCGTCTTGCGCGCTTGTGTTTAATCCCCCGCGGCCCCCCAAAAGCCGCGCACCAAGGGTCACTCTCACCCAGGGTCACTCCTGCGTGTAGCCGAAAGCTGGTCCTGGGGAGTGGATCGAGACCTCTGGGTGTCGAGGTCATGTGAAAATCATGGCGGGGGGGCTGGGTTATGCGCGCTTCGCGGGTCGGCTACGATGTCTCCTCCTCCTCTTCTCTCTTTCGGGGAGCGGCGCGAGAGCGCGAGGTTGTTCGCGCCTCGCGCAGCGCGAAGCGCGGAGTTGGGCGCCGTTGGAGGACGCAGGGCGAGCCTGAGATCCTGGCGCTGCAGTTGTGTTACAACGGGGGTGTTCGCCATGTTTCGGGGCTCCCAGGGCCATCGCAGAGCGATCTGGCGCGAGAAATGCAGCAGAAAGACTGGATTCCACAGGGCTCGGGTCGTGATCGCTGCGATGCTGGAAATTGTTCGCCACGTCGGATCTCAGGGAAACATGCCGCTGCCCGTCCTGGAGGGCCCACGTCGCCACGGCTGGGTTCGCCTCGACAGTATGGTCAGAACGCACCCCGGGAGAGGTCCGTGGAGTAGCGGTATCGGTTCTTTCTTGTCCCCCCAAGGACGCGTGGGTGACGACCATTTTCCCCCGACCATGCGATGGTGCCGGCGCCGATACAGGCGACCCAGGAGCGCTGGAGCCGGAGGTGCGAGCCGGGGGGGGCAATGGAATTCCAGCGCGTTGTTGCCGACAGTCCGATGAGCCAGTTTCCCCCTTGCCCCAGTGCTCGCGTGCATGCACACAGTCAAGTCGCACAATTAGGACGGACGAGCAAGTTTCCAAGGCTACCCTTGCATCCTTGCCCCTCCAGCCCATCCTTGGCGACTTTCACTGGCCAACCCCGTTCGAAAACGCCAACATGGCCCTCCAAGGCCCTTGCATCCTTACAGCGCATCCTTACTATTCGATTTGACTGTCGCCGGTTTTTCTTCCTGTATCTGTTTCTTCTCGCAGGCGGCCGCGAACGTACAAACAAATGGTTCAGGTGGCACACAGGCCGAGGGCAACCCAGCTTTGGTCGAACTTTGTCGTTAGGCGAACTTAGATCGGCAGAGCAAAACATGTGGGGCGTTCCAAAAAGGGCCTTGTCTTCGAGGATCGAAGGAATTGTCATCTCTTCCTCGGCGAAAGGCGATGGAAGGGTGGCGGAAGTAAAACGAGGCTTCCTCCGCTGGCGGAAGCTCGGCGGAAGTAAAAGATGTGCCCCCAAGAGATGAGCATGTTTTTTGGGTTCAGGGTTTCCAAAATCGCCCATAGACCAAATGGGCCGCTGTTGTTTACAGATGAAGCCTAGGAGCTTCGGAGGAGCACTCCTCTGCTCTTCGCGTCTGGGCTGGCCGCGCTGGAATGCTCATCGTCTGGGGCCTCGGGCCTGTGGCGGGGGTCTCGTGCTCTCGACCGAGGAGCAGGCAACAGCTCTTGAGCGAGGAGCGGGCAAGAGCTCTTGACCGAGGAGCAGGGGGAGGGGGAGCTCCTCCTCCTCCTCCTCCTCCTCCTCCTCCTCCTCCTCCTCCTCCTCCTTCTGGCCAACAGCTCTTGAGCGAGCAGGAGGCAGCAGCTCTCGAGCGAGCAGCAGGCAGCAGCTCTCCGAGCGGGGAGCAGGCGGCAGCAGAAGCAGGATTCCTGTCGGAGGTCGGCGCGGGCTTCGGGGGGGTGGCGCTGGAGGGCCCTGCGGACCTCCGAATGCCAGTGCTCCCAGTTGTCGCTGGGCAGCGCTTGGCACTTCAGGGCTCCTCTCTCTCTCTCTCTATCGCTCTCTCTAGTCTCGGCTCGAGAGTGCTCTGCACTCAGACCGCAGCCACGACGCGAAGCGCCCCGCCTCGGAGTCAGACTCCCGGGCCTCGCGAGACCGGAGGGGTCCCAGCAGGACCCTACTGATTCGCGTCACCTCTCCGCACCAGAGTGCCCGCAGCAATGGCCCCCAAGAAGCCGGAGCGCCGTCGGTCTTCAAAGCAGCCTCCGAGCTCCCGTCCCACGCGCCCTGCTGCTGAAGGGTCCCTCCTTCAACGCAAGCAGGACTGCATCGCAGCGTTCAGGCAAGCGGGGTCTGACCGCCCCACGGCCGCCTATAACGGGCTAGCCGAACTGAACGCGGACGAGCTCCAGGCAAAGTACGACATGCACAAGTCCAACACGAAGAAGCTTGGCAGCGCCCTTATCCGCATGTGCGCCGCCAACCAGATCAGCTACACGCTCGACCACTACCAGCGCAGCAAGCCTAAGCGCACTGGCGGTGACACATCGCACCCACCATCGGGCTCCGCACGTCTTCAGGCTGCGGACACCCAATTCATTGCCTTGGACCCTGCCTTTTGGAAGGTCCCTGTTCTTGCCGAACCCACCTCGCCTGACGACGGCAAGACGTACAAGCCCAGCATCAGCCTCCACGACTTCGAGAGTGGCGAACGGCTGCTGCAACACCACCTCGGGCAGGGCAAGCGAGCCACGGGCCAGCTCGCGATTGCTGTCATGGGCCCGAAAAACGACAACTACGTCGGTACCGAGCTCGCCGTCCCCGTCCTGAAGCGCCACCCCAAGGCGCCCAAAGTGGTCCACACGCACGTCCCCGTGATCGTGTACCAGCTGGGCACCAAGGAGGTCGCCTGCACGGAAAAGGTAGCCGTCGCCACCATCGACCCCGCCGACCACGTCTGCTGGATTCGGGCGACCATACACGAGACCGAGGCCATTGCCGCAGTCCCCTCCATGCACCAGGCCTTCGAGGACCAGTTCTCGGGAGGTGCCCCCGTGAACGGTGGTCCACGCGCCAAGGGCCCTTTTCGAGGCGACTCCGCTCCACAGGACAAGGCGCGCCAAAAGCACAAGGAGTCCAAGAAAGACGCTCGCCGCCAGGAGCTCGATGGCCAGCTCCAGGACACCTTCAAGGCCCTCTTCCACGGCAACTTTAAAGCCGTCACCATCCTCGAACCCTGCAAAAGCCTAGGCAGGTTTGGATCGGGCGTCGGAAAGAGGTCCCTGGCTGCCACCTTCGGCGTCAGTCTCCAAGCGGTCGACAAGGTCCTGGCGGGATCAGGGCAACTCGGTGCCACCTACGACCTCAGCAACGTAGGTGCAGACGAGCCCACCGCCGACAAGTATCAGACCGTGTGGTTCCCTGAGGACCAGCCCATCACGATGGCAGACGCGTTCCAGAAGTCGGTGGAGCTCAAGGCCCTGGGAGTCGTCAGGCACGGCAAGTCAGGCCTGCTGGGGATCCGTGTTCCGCGGGGGTCTGACGTCGCCAAGGCCGCCGCTGTCAGCATCCGCGGCTGCGAGGCCACCCTCGCCAAGACGCGCTACCGCATCACTGGCATTGCGTCACGCCACGCCACGCTGACCCAGCTCGCCAAGACTCTCACGGGCCCGTCCGTCAAATGGGACTGCGAGGTCTACCACACCGCCTGGGACCCAGCCACTGCGGCCCAGTTTGCCCTAGTGCGCGCCCATCGGCCCCCACTCACCTATACGGTGCAGGTCGCGGGGTGCTCCATCCCGTGGAGCATCGCCGAGGCCCCGCTGGCTGAGGTGGCGCCGAAGCGGGACAACGTTACCATCGTCACGCCTACCACCATCACAGAGCCTGCGACGCCGCCAGCCGGTGGTGGCGGCTTCAGCCCCGCCACCGGCACACTCCTCACCAAAGCGGCCCAGAGCCCCTACCTCCACGACCTCATGACTGCCACGCCCAAAGGCAAGGGCGTCGCACCGCTCCTGACCCCCAAGGAGGAGCCTTTAGCCAAGCGCCACCGCTCCTCCAGCGGGAAACGTGACGCCACGCCGCCCGCAAGGCCACCCCGCGCCCCAGGCCGCAGCTCTTCTGCGCCCCCTCACGGCACGGACGGAGCCGCTGAACCGACGGCCGCCCCAGGACCAGGTGGCCACGACCCCTGGCTTGGCACGGCCGCGGCGGAAGGAGGGGGCCACACCGAAGGCGCCGCTGCCACAGCCGCCGAAGTACCAGGTGACGTCGTTGACGTCGAGATCCTCTCATCAGGCGATGAATACAGCGAGGCCTCCCACGAACTCAACACCTTCGGCGAGCGCTTCGCATCGGCCTCTAAACCGCCCGATGCTGCCACGACCCGCATCCAGCACATGGAACAGCAGCACGAGCTACTAGCCACCACGGTGGATAACATGCAGATGCAGCTTGCGGGCGTTCTCTCCTCCCAGGCCACACTCACGGAGCACGTTTCAGGGCTGGAACGGGGGCTTGCCACCGTCGTCACCCAGCAACAGACGGCAACCGCCGACGCCGCTGCACTGCGCGGCGACATCCAGACCCTCCTCGGGCACCTCACGGGAGGCACCATCCACCTGCCACAAGCGGCCACTCTGGAAGTTAAGAAGGAGGAAGCCGCAGCGGCCGCCGAGCCCGCGGCAGCCTGCAGTGCGACCGACCAGCCAGGCCAGGCCACCCCAGGGACGGGGCCCCCAGGGGCCGACAAAGGCAAGGACAAGGGTCGGGCCACCCAGGACCCGTATTGAAGGTGCCTCAGAGAGCCCGCCTCAGCCCTCCGAGGAAGCGCCTTCAGAGGCACCGCTCCCCTCTTCGCGTCGTATCTCTTTCTTGTTACCTCATGTCTGTTTTGGCAGCAGCACGCGCAAGCTCTCTGGTGTAGGGACACCCGTAGTCTTGCAGGGGGCGTGATTGTAGCGATGTACATGAGCATTCAGGGGTGTATGAGGACGTGTGCTGCCACGCAGCTTTCGGCTCATCGCTCGCGCCGCCCGCCAGGCCTCGCCATCATGCGGCGCCTCGCCTGCGGCCTGGCCCTCCCCTCGCTGGCTGGAGCACACCCGTCTTCAGGCGGTGCGCCCCAGCACGGAGGAGAGGCTTTCCTGCGACATGCGGAGCGTAGGACGTCTTCTACCTTTACGATGACAGCATCTACAAATACGATCACAGCGCCATTTTGGACCCGATCGTGAACAGCACCGCCGCCGCTGGTCCGTGCGGCACCGGGCTGCTGGGCGCCCCCGCGAGCGCCTGGCCTGAGCAGCACCAGGGGCCCTGCCCCACGCGCTGCCCCCCTGGGACTTCGACGGCTACTACTATGCCTACGCCGAGTACCAGCACGTCTCCTACGAGCACGCCCTCGTCAACTACGACACATGCATCGCAGTCGACCGCCGATTTTGCCGCAGCTGAGCTGACTCCTGCGTCCTCCGGCCACGCCTCGCACCGCATGCAAGTTCAGCTACGAGGGCTACCATCACTCAATACGACGCCTGCGGTCGACCGTCGTACAGCATATCCTCGATGGCACCCTGTCTTCAGCGTGCCCTCGACCGTCGTGCAGCATATCCTCGACAGGGCCGCTGGCAAGGCCCAGGCACGCAGTGGCGGCTTCAGCCCCGCTGCAGTGCCCTGGCTGCCACCGCCCCCGCATGAGGCAACGCACGCCGCGCACGACCACCTGCGAGAGTTACCACCGACCACGACGCCTGCCGCCGTACGTCGCACCGTGTACCCTCCAGAGTGTCGCACCCCCACAGCGTGCCGACCTGACAGCTTCGACATTACTGACAGCGGTGGGCCGTGCCACGCTGGAAACCACGCCGCTGAGCCAGCGCCGCAGACGGCTCCACCGTGGCCCCCACAGACCACAGGCGCCTCGCTGCGAGCCATCTGGCTCCTCGTGC